GTCGAACTTTCGTGTTTACACAAAAACATTTAGACTGATCCCGGCGCATAGTGGGGTGCTAGAATGTGGGTTAATGGACGAGGAAAAGGGTTAAGAGCTGGGAATGCGGGATTTTATAAGATTGATGGGGAAAACGAGGGAGGGGAAGTCCCCGGTGAATGCAGGATAACCCCGTAGTTTTCCTGAATTAACATCCGATTCGAGAGTATGCATTTGAACATCAGAATGTGGTTCATTCAAGGTAGGATACACTAAGCAAATACTTTGAGAGGTATTCGTAATAATATTTAAATCAACTTGGAATCATACATTTATATATATTAAATATATTATATTAATAAATAAATATATACTGCCAAACAGTAAGTAGAAAAGAGTTGCTTTAGAATCCTTAGTATTAAGCTTTTCTTAAGTTTTAAGTTAAGTTTCATTAAATAAATCAAAACTGAAATTAAGTAAACTAATAATTGAGTTTGAAATAGTTTGGATTACTTAAAAGCCGTTTAAGTTATGATTTTTAATATAATAAATAAATAACTAAAAATACAGATAAAGCTAAACTTTTCAATTTATAAAAAGTAAAATAACAAAAACTACTTAACAAATTGTTTCTATTACAAAAATATACTTTACTCACATCTTTAAGGGTTTGCAGCAGATCCTCTGATGATTCCTGCTGGCAGCTTCCTCTAACGTCGCCCCCAACAACGCGGCAAATGAAGGCAATATCTCAAATGGAACCACATAAACGAAATAATAAATACCAAATGATTTCATAATGAATGTCGGGATGGGCAGGAAGGCATTCCCATTCCCATTCGCCTCGCCTAGAAACCAACACACAACGCCCAACACACAACGCCCAACACACAACGCACAACCAACGACCCACTGTCTTCGTCCTGTCCTCGTCGTCATCCTGGTTGGCATTTCTTTTATTACTGAAATTGCGAAGGAGAAATAAAAAAAAAAAAATTCTTAATTTCGTTTCGTTTCATCAGCAGCAGCAGCGACAAGATTTACAACATACTGTGAGCATAAAATAAAAATCTTATATTTGTTCAAATGCGTCGTAGGGTGGTGGACAAGCGGCGAGCGAAATAAATAAATAAAATAAAATAATATAAAATAAAAAGCCAACGGAATAAAATGAATAAAAATACTCGAACGTACAAAAGCCATCCACCCATTGTCTGGCGGAGATTGTGGGGCGTTGACAACCTTAATAGTTATAGAGTTTTGCAGAGGGTTCGCTATTCGGGGGACACACGCAATTGGAACGCATACCGAATGCAATAAAACGCACATGTGGTTTCCATCGCTCCTCTGCCTTCGATTCCCCGCCGCCTCATAATTTTTGTGTGGCTGGCAAATAAATTTGATTTCGAGCGAAATGCCGTGGATTGACTATCTTTACTGACTGCAAAATTTCGCTCTATTTTGGGCTTTACTGCACCAGTGTTGCTTTAAAATAAAAGTCATATCGCCACGGGAATAGTTAAATAATCATCAAGAGTAGCTTCGCAGATTTATTGTGCTAGTTACATTTATTTCACTGTTTTCAAATTTTGAGTTTTTATAAAACATTTTAATTTAAATTTACACTTGTAATAACATGGTGTAAGTCGATTTCATTTTATAAAGAAATATATGCAATACTAAACATAGAAAATGTATTTGCTTACTATAAAATTATAAGTTTAAATTTAATTTTCCTCTTTGACTTTTCAAAGTGTATCCTGGTTAATAAAGAAATTAAGACATTTAATTTAATAAAATTTTATAATTTAAAATCAAAAATAGATATAGATAATCTTGAACAACAAAAATTGAATTGGCTTAAAAAGCGAAGCTCATAACACTTTTGTTTGTTCAAATTGTGACACCCTTGCCGTTTTTCGTCGATTTCTGTTTAACTTTGACTCTGTTGACCTTTTCCATTGTGAAATTGTGGGACACAAAAAATTCTTTAAGTCCTTTACAAAAGATACTGAAATCGTATTGTTGTAATAATAATTTATAACATGGTGTAGCTCGGACAAATGTAAAAAAAAATGAAATTCTGCCGAAATACTATAGCTTTAATGTTTAAGGTTTATCTTCTTTACTTTTCTTTATTAAACCGTTGTTAAGCAATAAGTTTAATTATAAACTTATATCTATTTGAAAGGCAGGGAAAATATAACAAGTACAAATCCGAGTTAAAGAATATAGAATTTAAATAATTTTTCAAGTTAGAAAATTTGTCAAGGCAATAACCTTTAGTTTTGGAATTAATTCCAAGATATTCGGCACGTGTTAGGCTGACGGAACTAAAATAGGCCCACCGCCCACCGCCCACCTGCTGGTTGCCATCGCGATTTCATTTGGCAGATATTTAACACATCGCCTCAACACGCCCAGGAAAAAAAAAGCGACAGATATAAAAAGCGAGTCGGACGATATCAGAGGTCAAAGGAAAACTGGAGTCGGGGAAAATTGTGCGACGGAGGAAAATAATTCAATGCAAAGGAAACAACACAACACAACACAAGCACGCGCTGATGAATGGAAAGGGAAAGGGAATGGAATTGGGTTCGGGATTCGGTATAAGGTATAAGGAATACGGAATACTGAGTATGGAGTATGAAGTACGGAATACGGAATACGGGGGCGTAGAATCGGAAAGGCAAAGGACAAACATGCCACGGGCAAAGGACAAAAGTCAGTCCTCTGAGGTGTTGCCAAACAGGAAAAGCTTCAATCAGCAAAAAAAATATATATATATAGAAAATGGGAGGGAGAAGGCGAAGGAGAAGGAGAAGGGCGGAAAAGCGGAAAAGCGAAGGCAACCAACTACACATTTAGTGTTTATTTCGCATTTATTGAGAGCAGCGGTTGGGGCTGGTCGGAATCCGAAAATGAAATCAGCAAGAAATAAATGTCCTTGTCGCACAGCATAATATAACCATCCCCGGTTCCCAGCCCCAGCCATATATACACAATATATAAATTGTTTCCAAATCATTGGACACTCAGCCACAGAAATACGAAAATGAAATTAGTCCATTGAGGGCAAATGTCCCAAAGAAGTCGAATCTTAGTGACTCTTGAAAAAAGAAATGGGAAAAAAAGTATTGGAAGCTTAAAAATAGATCTTAAGTTAAACAAAATTGATCTGTCAATAATATATTTTAAAATTTAATGGAGTGTTCTTTTGGTATTATTACAATGTTAACTTAAAAATTCATTTTAATTTATTTATTTTATTTAATTTTTAATTATTTCCTGAAGCTACAAGGATTTCATTATAAATTTCCTTAAATTAAATTAAAAGTGTAAAACAAATATAAATTCTCCATTACTTTTTCTCATGACCTGACTCTATAACTATTTATATCAACTACATTTTGAACCACATAAAGCTGATCATAACGATGATGGTAAAGCAAAACGGCTGACATCGAGCAAGTTAGTCAGTTATTGGGTGTTTGCTTGAATGAATGAATGAATAAAGATGCCAAATGGAAGGCAAATGGGAAAATCTGCCAGGCACATTAAAATTAAAGTCGAATGGCCCCTGTCCTGCCCGTTGACCGCAATTGATGTGTGCGGCTTTAATGGAAACCACATTTTCGGCCATAATAAATTGGCGCTCCTCAAGCGAAACCATCACCGGCTTACAAATGGTTTTTCCAACTTCCTCGAAACATAAGTCCCTTATATTGATGTACGTTTGATGTGTGACAGCAGAAGTTCGGAGCAAGTCTGCGGATTTGAGAAACCGCTTCTTGACTTATATTTGATTTCGGTGGAGGTCGTTCAACATTTGTATAAGAATGATTTGATTTCCCCGACCATTACTCAAATAAACTAGCATCTATTTATAATTTATTGAGTTATTGTGGGTTTAAGGATTACTTTAATTGAAGGACTGTAAAATAATTATTAAAATATATATCTACACCTTTATGGTTTATGTAAATGGAACATTTTTTAGATTTAATTCCGATGGAAGGCATTCAATTCCTCTCGCACATTACTTCCCAAATACATATTTATTTATGTTTGCCAGCCATTTGTGCAAAGTGTTTGCACTTAATAAACCCATTTCGCTAAGCACTTTGTCAGTTGGGCGATGGGAGGTGGGCGTGGCTCTTAGAGGGGGGCGGTACTGCTTCCGTTTTTGGGTCTTAAGACCACCCACAACCTACTCCACTCCCTACGCATTTACTGTTATTTCAGCATTAAAAGTTCATTGAATGGCAGAGGAAGTGAAAACAATTATCTGCAGGAAGGTGAAACATAAATCCTCCGAATCCGTAAGTAAATTGCAAATTTTCGTTTATTACTTTCGATGTCTGCAGCTCAGGGGATTTGCGGTTAAATCGAATCGATATTTTGTGTTATCATATTTATTATGCAAACACACTTCGATTCGACTCGATTCGATTCGATTCGATGAGAGTTGGCGAAAATGACACACGTGCGTACACAAAAAGGTATTATTTGCTTGCGAATGAAATGTAAATTGAAACTCATACCTTTTTACATATCAACACCTTTTGAGAAGAAATTGTTTTTTTTTTCTTTCCATTCCAATTGGGTTGATGGAAAGGAGGGTTAAAGGAAAGGAGGTGGCTTTTATTAATTAACACAAAGATAATGAAACCATAATACTTAGATATAGAACCAGAAAAAAAAGTTAATTTAAATTTTGATTAAAAACCTTTTACTATAAGTTTTGATTAGGTTAATTAATTAAAAAAATGTATATATATATTGTTTTTATTTTTTATGCTAGAATTTTAGAATGCGTTTTTATTAATTTATGTTCTTTAACTAACGCAAATATTTTTTTGCAAATCAAAGGCAATTATCTACATCTACTTAAAATTGTTTGCTGTTTTGAATTGTTATATAATGTACATTTCTTTTGCTTGCTAATGTAAAGTAACTCCTGTAAAAAACTTGGATAAATAATATTTAAAAGTTGTAAAGTTTGTTTAATAATTGGCAATTATTTCGACAAAAAGGATGCAAACGGTTAAAGTTTCGTGTACAAGTAGATGGCAACGATGAGGCCGTAGAGAGCCAGTACCTCGGCGAAGATCATGATGAGGATCATGCCCACGAAAAGGCGTGGCTGTTCAGCGGTTCCCCGGACGCCAGCATCTCCGGCGATTCCGATGGCTATTCCGGCCGAAAGTCCCGGCAATCCCACGCTCAACCCGGCCCCCAGGTGGGCATAGGCCATGCCCACCGTATACTCGTCGCCAATCGATCCGGCAATCAGCACTGCGACAACCAAGCCGTAGATCGCAATGATGCCAGCCATCACCACCGGAATGATGGACTTCATAATCATGTCCGGCTTGTTCACGGCCATACTAGCAATTCCAATCCCGGACACGGCCGTTCCGTAAGAAGCCCCCAAAGTGGTGAATATGATCGCAATGGCTGCCCCCGTGCATCCCAAGAAAACAGCGTAGGCGGGCTGCTGATCCTCCTCTGCAGCGGTAAGCATCTTGCCTTATTCGTATCTTCTTTATATAACAAGATATTAATAACAAACTTCTAGGAAAGATTAAAGGAAGTCCCAGGGCCTTCTTAGATTTTTAGTGAAGTGAAAAAAAACAGATTTTCAAAACCATTGGGTTGCACTTTCACATCAAAAAATATAATGTGGGTTGCTGGGTCTTTCTGAAACTTTAACAAAAATATTATCAAATTTGTTATCAAGGAGAACTACGATTATAAAATATTTGGAAATTCCTCAATAAAGTTTATATTCAAAAATATATTTAATTTGATTCAAGCTTTATTGCTTATATAAACATTAATTAATTACAAATTTATTTAAGCTAAAATGTTACCAACAAATTAAAGAAACAAATCGCGAAGGAAAAAAATTTATATATGTGTATGTATTTTAATAATAGTTATTGCTTATCCTATCGGAAGAACAAAAAAACGTTTTTATAAACATAAATAACTTTAAACAAGTATAAAAATACAGTTTCTTTCAGAAAAATTTTGTTTAGCAGGTGGACTTTAGTCATTAAGCTATTTTGAATAGGAATTAAACAAATAAATTAATTAAACAATCAGCTTTTGAGCTTATATGTCTATAAGCTGTAATTTCGACCAGGTTTTAGCTTATACATTTAGGAAGTGTTTCTAGATTTTCACTGGTTACGCGAAATTTATAACCCCGAAGGACCGCAAAAACCATTCTTCGAATTGAAAATCGAAGCTGCGGTTGCTTATTCAGTTTGAGTGGTTTTTTCCCCCATTGCCTTTCAACGCCTATGTCGCTACCCTCTACTTGTTTCAATTAAACAAATTGGAAAATATGAGCCCGGACTCGAGCTATCGAGCTTAAAAAGGCGACACTTTCGAAAGTCCCCACCTCAGCAATGTTGTGTCGTTTCCTTAAAATGGAAATTTGTTGCCACCGCTGAGGGGTTGGAGTTTCGAGGGGGGAATTATTTGTGGGGCTAAAGTTGGGGCTTCAATTGCCCCCACTTCGCGATGGCATTTTTATTTGTGGCCCCAGCTCGGCTGCTTTGCATTTTTAATACATATTCCGCATATTCCTTAGGGGAGCTAGCTTGTAACTTTGTCAGTGGCTTTGCGTTCGTGTGATGTGATTGTTAAGTTGCCACAGATTTGTCACAGGCGACTTCTGTCGACCGAGAATGGAAAAGAGCAGATTCTTGATTACCTTTTTTTTTACAGAGGGAACAGGTAGCTTTTAGCCCAGCTTAATTCCAAAAACTCTATTAAATATTTTTGGGCTATTTTATTTATAAATTGCACACGAATTGCCTTAAATTGTTACCTGTGTACCAGTTTTACTTACCATTATATACAATTTCATATTAATATAACGTTGAATTTGATATTACCAACAAAGCTTTTTCTAATTATCTATTTTTAAATAAAAATATTAATTTTTAAGTTCAAGCTGAAAGCAATTTTTAAAGCTTTTATTGCTTTTTTAAAACAGTATTTAACTTAAAAAGGATTTGCTAAAAATATGCAATAATTCAAGTTTGCAGAAGGGAAAAGAAGCTTCTTTTCACTTCGTGTACAGGTAAATGGCGACGATCAGGCCATAGAGACCCAGGACCTCGGCGAAAATCAGGATCAGGATCATGCCCACAAAGAGGCGTGGCTGCTGGGCGGTGCCCCTCACGCCGGCATCGCCCACAATGCCGATGGCAAAGCCCGCCGCCAGTCCGGAAAATCCTACGGAAAGTCCGGCGGCCAAATGAATGTATCCCTTGCGAATGGTATATGAATCCGAAAGTGATCCGGCAATTAAAACCGACACCACCAAACCGTAGATCGCAATAATGCCGGCCATGACCACCGGAATGATGGACTTCATGATCAGCTCCGGTCGCATTACGGCCATGGCTGCGATTCCGGTGCCCGACTTGGCCGTTCCATATGCCGCTCCCAAGGCCGAGAAAATGATGGCCGATGCCGCACCCATCGAACCAAAGAAGAACGAATACGCCGGCTTATCCTTGTCGGGAACTTCTTCTGGCATTTTGACTGCTTTTCTGCAAAATAATATGGGATATATCTACAGCGAATATTTTAACAGTCTTACCGTTTACAATACTCAAATCTCCTTAGCTTTTAAACGCTTTCAATTGCTGACTGGACTGGTCAGGTAGATATATATTGTGAATTGTATGCCTTTATTTATTGTAGATTCCCCGCCAACTAAGTTATTAAAAAAGTCTTTTGTTTGAGAAATTCAAACATTTTTATTTTAAGCATTTAGGAAAGAGGAGAACCAGAGAATCTTTTTTTTTCGACATAACTTAAAAGTGTATCATTAGATTTCCTCATTTCAAAATATATTAAAAATATAAGTTATTGCTTTTTATTTTGATGACTTTGTATAAATACAGAAATTATTGATTTGCAGATTTATAATGGCTTAGTAGTCGCTGCGAAAATGCCATGATATTTGATTTTTCCACATGAGAACTCCTCAAGCAACTAAAAGTGCGAAAGGTTTTCCATTAAAGATTTATGCTGCGTTGAGGGATTTAGCATCGAAATCCTTTCTTCTTTTCCAATTCGAGTTGCTTTTGGGTCTTCGCATCCATTGTTGTTGTTGCTGCTGCCGCTGCGCTTTGTTAGTTATTGTTTGGCCCGCTTTTTGCAACTATAAATCGTTTATGTATTTTGTTGAGTGCGAGAATTTATCGCTGGAGCTGAATATGAGAAAGGAATCACATAAATACAAATAAATCAAAAGCATTTCGAATGGCAATGGCAATGCCAATGGCAATGGCAATACAAACAATCTTTTCCTCCTGCTACCAAAGAATGGAAAATTGAGAAATATAAATGGGACGGCGTAGTTCTGTGTGTGTGTGTGTGTGTGTGTGAGTTGTAGTTGCTATAGGCAGGCTAGACTGTGACTGTGTGCTGTGCGAAAATTGATGTCTTGCCTCATAAAAATAAGGCATCAGAAGAATCGCCCGAATGTGTTTTTGTTGAAAGCAACATTGTAAATTTTATGACTTTTTTATGCGCTGAAATCTATAAATTATGTAAACTGACACTGACAGCTGTCAACCGAAGGCTCAGCGACAGCTCCAGTCGCACTCACAGGCCCATTCGGAGTCCCATTCGGAGTCCCATTCGGAGTCCCATTCCCACTCGCCAGTGCTGTCCTTTCATATACAAAGATATATAAAAGTATATGTTACAGTCAAAATTTAAAACAAAAGTTTTCAAAATATTTTTAAAGAAATTGACATAGTTATTAATTGAAAAAATCAGTCAATCAATCTGCAAAATAAATTCATATTTTATGAAAAAAATTTAATTATAGGTACATCCACAAAAGGGGCGTTCTACTGCCTTTTAACCAGGCATATACGTTTATTGAGTCTTGTTTCTTTTTTACAAATAAAAATTTGTTTTCTCTTGTTCACAAATAATTTAATAATCGTCAGTTTCATACAAAAATCCTCAAAATTAAACAAGAAAAGGGTTTAAAAAATCAAATATTTTATAACAACTTAAGCAACTGGTTTTAACAACTTAGAAAAAAGTTAGATTTAACTTGAAAACAGCTGATTTGGCATTACTATCACGGAGTTACTAGCTGGCGGAACGGTTGCAAGTGACACATGTGTCAAATGGTCGATGGGGAAGCGCGACAAAATTTGCTATTCCCACTGCCTTGCCACTGGGCCTTGGCTCCTTTGGCAGAGAACTCCGCACTCCGCACCACTCGACACCACACCACCAATCGCAACCCACCGCACCACGCACTACATCACCCCCTACCCCCACACCCGCACACCCACCACATCGCATTTTGGCCAGAGTGAACTGATGACTCGAGATGATTAAATGATTGCGAGCGGTAATAAAAAAATGTATGTTTCGAATTATTGCTATTATATATATTCTCTTATTTTTCATGCCTTTTTTGATTTTCTACAGGGGATCCGGACAGAGCTAGAACTTATTTTTATTGTTTACTTATTTTTCTTTATGGCATTTGCGAATATATATGGTGAGCTTGGTCTCAGCTCAATATGTTTCATCTTATTCCTAATAACAACTCTATTGCAACAATTTTTGTCGTGATCGATGACAAATTTTAGTTTTTTAATAATACATACCAAGGATGGGCTTATTTTAAATAAAGACAAAGGTATTTTTAGGGAGTTGGCTTGGGATATTATTAAAAATGGGGTTTCGCTTTGGAAATATAAATATTGTTAAATAAATTTCAAGATTGATTATGTGCCTTAAAACTGAGCTACGTATTTAAGCGAAAAAAAATATTTTGTTTTTCTGAAATGGCTTAAAAGTATAATTATAAAATAAAGGAATTTAACAGCATGTATGTATGTACGCTATTTCTTGTAGTTGTAGTAGTAGTAATTAGTAGTAGTAATTAGAAATTAGATTTTGTGAAATTTGGCTATAATAACGTTTACTTTATTTGTAGCAACACTGTGCACGAGGCTCCAGTAATATATTAACCTTCTGCGTACCCTTGCCCCAATTATTTTGCTCACTGTAGTTAAGTAAATCACAAAGTTCCTGCCAATGTGCAATAAATGAGAGGCCATGGGTTTTCCCGGGAAAGCAGGCGGCACTAACATAACTAACGAAAGAAATTAACCAAAAATAAATTAACTGGAAAGTTGCGACCCCGAGGGGCCAAAAGGGTTCTTGGATTCCACTGAGTCCGGGGTGTCAACCCCGCTGTTGCTTCCGCTGCGATGGAGACGACTGCCAACAGGATGGGAATGGGAATGGGAATGAGAATGACTATGGACTGTGTGTGACTTTCGGCATCGGAATCCCAAATGTGTTTTCAACATGCAATTTTTATTATTGACTGCTGGCTGTCGTTGTCGTGCTAGCGAGCTGCTTTTCAGTGTTTTCCGCACGGCGAATCGTGAAAATGTCATTACTGTCAATCAAGTCGGCCAAAGGATTTCCCCCGAAGCCAAAGAACATTAAAGACCCACTGTCCAACAAAGTGACAAATTGAAAAATCCATTCAAAATTGAAGCTACTTTGCAGTGATGTAGCAAAGGTCTTTCTGAGCTATTTAATTTTAACTTACATTTGTTTTGATAGTGGATATATGTCATATCATTCATATCCTGCAATTATATATTTATAGCTAAAGCAGTATTATTTAAACTTCCTTAGTTCTGTGCTACAAAAAAAACCCATATCATTAAGTTTTTTTTGTAGTTTTTTAAAATGTTTTTTTTTTGTTTATTGGTAACTTACAGTAATCACATAAATACGTTATTTTAAAATATGTATTTAACTTATATAATACTATTTCAACAGAAAAATCTATCCAATTTTCGATTCAGCTAACTTTCCTGTATCCGGCTTTTTTTTTAAATAAATAAACATTTCATTTGTAATTGTCAACAAAACCTTTAATAAATTGTAAATCAAATAAAGCAATTATCTTGAAATGTTTCCTTACACATTTGACCAAAATTATATAACAGGTTTCAAATGCCCTCGGAATTCCATTACATATTTAATTTGAAGGTATATGCTATATATATCAGTGTAATATTCGCAACGGCGTGTGATTTTGAGGTCTTATTCTGTGCATAATCTTGCAGGATTGACAGGGAGTTGTGCGTGTTGTGCGTCAGTTTCGATATATTGACAAAAGCAACACGGGGATGGAAAATTGAAAATGTCGAAGAGTGATGGCCAACATGCATCGTCGACATTGGCGTGCCAAATGTAACGATTTGGGCATTAGGCAGAGCTTGTTGAATCCCGGGGCCGAATTTAACCGGACGAACGGGCGGACGGACAGTAGCTAGGATATATCTTTTATTATGTAGTTCTGTGTCATCGTAAAAATCGCCAGCTATTACTTGATTGTCCTTCATGAGAGCCATAAAGCCGTTGGCGGCCTATGGCCCATTGTAAAATGATTTACTCGCCTTTCCCCATGCGTTCATTTGCGACAGACTTGGAGTCACTTGGAGACGCCCTGTTCCATCCTCTACTCACTCATTTTTTTATGGTTCGCTTTTTTACGGTCTTTTGCAGTTTAACGACGCATTACTGACACACAAACGGGAGCTGAAATTAGAACTTGGTCCGAAGAAATCTATTCATGATTTTCGCCATGTCCAAAATTACTTAACCATTTTATTGTATTTATTTTTCTTGTCAAGATTGGGTAAAGTAAGTATAATTTAGTAAGAACATAACTTTTTCTTAACTGTACTTTCCTTATTTTTCATTTAAATGAATATACAAAGTAGAACGTTTTATGAAGATTTTTATTATTAAATAACTTATATATTAACGTAATATTATTATTAAAGTATTATTATAATATTATCTGATCATAAATGTATTCGATATGAAGCTTTCAACAGTAATAACTAATAATTGATAAGTCTTAATTTAACTTAAAAAAAAAGGAACGTTGTACATATCTAAAAAGTTAGACTGAAATGGTTGTAATTGTTTAAAATTTAATTTAAATTCTCTCTTCTTGGTTTTGAGTAGAAAATCTGCCCAGACACGGCTGACAATCAATGTTGAGTAAAAACGACTTATCATTGTGAGGCGGGTGGCTGAAGTGGAACAAATTAACTTCGTTCATTTTAATTATTCCTCTTGTTCTGTTCTGCTTCCAACCGTTCGCTTCTTAGATTCCTGTCCGTCATTAAAGCTGCTATAATTTGAGACCTATTAACTCTCCGGCTCTTAAGGTCAAATGTGTACGGTGGAATCATGGATTAATTATTTAAATGAATTCACGTTCGAGTGCTTTTCTTTTCTCACATTGTCTTACCCAAAAAAACTTATAAGTCATGCACATCATTGTGATTTTTTTTTATTGTAAAGGTCTTTTTACGAAGGTTCTACTTGAAAGGATTTGTTCACTCCTCAGAGGTTTTCATCAATTTATCAGGGACTTGCATTTTGTAAAAATGTGTTTTTCAATTTCAATACTGCGCCATCTGTTGTGGAAAACATTGAAACATATATGACATTTTGCAGTGACATTATTGATAGTGTTTGTCTTTAATTTGTTAAAAACTTCCAGAATACACAGTTGTTTGAATTTAATGCTTGTTTTATATCCCAAATCTTAAGCTCAAAAAGTTTCATACGGACGTTTGGAAACGATTGCTTCTACCTCTTACTCACTTTTCAACAAAGGCGATTTACCCTTTCACTCCTCAAGTAACTTGTGAAATGACTCACATTGCTTTATATTTTTACCATAACACATTGGCTTTAACAAGATGAAATAGAGACTACACTGGAAATATAATATGCAATATTAATACTACCTAACAAAATTATCGGACCACAATGCAGATGCATCCAAGTGAAAGACATTAGCAATTGTGTTAGAAGAATAGAAGCGATAAAACCGGACTACACGATATTCTTACGCAGTCCATCCGGGCGAGTCGGATGTTAACTGTTGACCCCGCTGCGAATCGCGTGTATTTTGGCAGCTTGAAACTTCACACCCAGGGCTCACGAAAAACCCGGGCTTCTCTACTCCGGATTCCCATTATCGTTCCAATTCCTGCGGCTTCGTCGGCTCCGTGGGCTGGCGGGCTTTCCTTTTGGCGAACAACACATGGGCACGCAATGTTTCCGCTGCAACGGCAGTCTAAAGTGTCCAATCAAGTTTTTGAAATGAAACCTAAATAACATGTCATAATAAATAACCTTCAAGCGACCCGGGGGCCCAGCCAGTTGACTCTGGCCAACGTAGAAATCCCGAATCCTGTAATTACAACGTAAATCCAAAATGTCTCAGCACCGCACAGCCGTCGTTGCGAACTCGCCCAAACAAACACACAACGAGCCAAAGGAAACTTAATTCATATATCAAAAAGTTTTTCGTACCGACCAGTGGACGAGAGTAGCAATTTGCGCGCAAGTAGCCGACTCCACTGCCACTGCCACTTCCACACTCCACTGCCAAGCCAAAAAGTGCAAACCAAGTTCAAGACGTGGTCGTGCACTCAAAGAAAAAG